AATAAAGTTAGTTCACGGTGGGGTTCTAATCATCTATAGAACAAGCCATGAAATATTCTTTCCAAACAACCCAATAAGAAATATAAATAGCAGCAAAGGGAGGATAATAAGCTTTCGACGCGCCACTGGAGCTCTCGCTACCACTAAGACTCGCCTTAGCTCACTAACTCCTCTCGGATGTCTAGCTTGCCACTCCTTGGAGCTTATCAATGGAGGAACATCACTTAAGGAAGAAGAAAGGGATACAATGAAAAAGATAAGAAAATGTTGCAGAATATTCCTCCTCTCCTCTTCTCTCTCTTGTGAGGTTTAATATATAATAAAAATATTTAAGGGTAATGATGAGGTTGTTGCGCTCAAAATACCCCTAGGGTCACTCCTTGTGCGTGAAACTTATCCTCCAAGTGGCAGTGGCCCCTTAGCAGGCGGTTACAACCATCATTCATGTGCTGTGCCATCTGTCCTTTTACAGAAATATCTTTTTTTCTGTTTCTGCGCCAGTAATGCCAAGGCATTTCAATCAGCTTCAGCAACATGTGATGTCACGATATTCCTTCCTAATGCGACCTTCTGCTTTCTATTTCCTACACACCATAAAATCTACACTTTCTATACAACTCCTTAAAGAATAATAGTACCCACCACAAATGCAACTATATGCAACTACATGATCCTAAATGACTAAAATAAGCTTTTAAACAAACATAACTTAAATGAAAAGGCCTTAAAAGTAGCCTTTTTAGGAAGCTATCAATTTCTTAGGTGGAGTCAAAAGAAGGATCACTTCTAATATGGTTATCTTTATAAGGAAATCTTTCCAAAAAGTACCTGTTGCTAACTGGTATTCCAAGAAATGCCTATTAAAGACTTCATGAAAGGGTAACTATTGGAAATGCCCAATCATCCAAAAGACGTAAAATGTTGTCAAAGAAAAGACCTGGTCAAGAGTAAACAAAAAGCAATCGGAAAGAAGTATGAGAGAAACAAACGTTGGACCATTAAATCATTCAAGGGAGTCCTCTTAAGCTTTATATTCTTTTACTTATGTTATGTTTTTTGATCTCTTTACAGTTATAATCTATTTTTAACAAATGGTGAACAATTCATGTTTAGATTACTAATTATGTATTTTATAAAATACGTAACTAGTTTATTTTTAATCACATATTTATATTACTGTTTGCTGATGTTAATCAGCTCATTTATTAAGGTTATTGATTCATATTAGTTTTACATTCATTTAGATAGATTCATTTCATTCATGAATTGATAGCATGTTAATCCTTAATTTCCTATCTATTTCAACTCAATTTAGCTCACAAGTCATTATATATTAGCTCTCTAATATAATATCATTATACTTAGCTCATGATGCCATTCTATAGCTCACAAGATGTATTCACACATGGCAACTGCATTTACATTCATTCCAAATTACTTTGATTTACCTTGTTTCTTTGCACATGTAGGTACTTGAAGGAACGACACATTATGAAGCTTGTTGGAGTGTTTGGCACCCTATGGCAGCTCACAATTAGGTTTATCTAAAGAAGTCTGAAACACATGTGACAAAACCCCTATGTCACATGCCAGCTGGATGACCTACTTCACGTGCAAGCAAGACTTGTTATTTGACAGTCGCCTTTCCTTTTTAAGTTTGGGAAATTAATACAACTAATTAAGGAACTCCAAAAGCATGCAAAGCCCTAGGAGATTCTCCTTATAATTACCAGCCTAGCCGCAAAAAGATGAGGCAATGAAGAAGAAGAAGAGCTTTACCTTAGGCGTGAGCAAGAAGCTGCAGTGCTTTCCCTCCGTCTACCCCAGTCTTCCTTGGTGTCCTCCATAGCCTACGATAGCAGAGCAGTGATCAGGCCTCGAGAAAGGGTGATCACCAAGGCAGGCATGGTGCTGATCAGGATTATCACGACAGATCCCCGATTTTAGGAGTCGTTCTTCCTTTGTTCTTAAACTCTAATTCAATTTGGGGTTTATTAAACAGTTTAATCTTGGATGATCATTGATAACACCATGAATGCTTTACTTGGTGTTAAACTTTGTTTGCCTGAACAATATTTAATGTTTGAATGATGAATTATGTTTGGTTATGATTTTGCTCATAGTTTAAATATTTTACCTAAACACTATAAGAGCATCGAGAGATCGCCTGGGGTTTCGGTAAAACATGTCTGGGCATTGTAAGAGCATCGAGAGATAGCTTTTTGTCTAGAAAGATGATTTGAATTCGAGAGAATTAAGAGAGATCAACGTGAGCAAATGAATGAATCTAGGATGGTGAAGTTCTAACTTGTCTACCTTAGAGATAAGAAGTGAGTTTCAAACAACTAAAAGGGATAAAGGCTAAAGTAGGTTAAGACAACGTCTATAGTTAACGCCGAGAGGTATTGCCATAGCAACCATCTAAGAATACCTAGAAATCCTGTCGGGCAGTTTATTGAGTCATAATAATTCATTTTGGGCTTAAAATAATTGTTGCAGAGACAATAGTTTAGCATCCGTGCTCTGTGACACGTCTGAATATGTGAGGTTGTTTGCATTATATTTAATCCAATACTTGTTTTGTTTTGTTTTGTTTTATCTGTCTGCATATTTTCTTTGTCTCGACCACACTTGTCTGCAATCATTGAATCATTATTCCTAGCTCCTTAATATTAGTTCTTAGCTTTAATACTTAGTAGGATTAATTTGTGGCATTAGTTCTAGTTGTGGTGAAAAGATATTTCTAATCTAATCCCTGTGGAGACGATACTCACTCACTACTATATTACTTGCATCGATTGTGTATACTTGCACGGATTAGCTTGCCTTAGCATATACATTCACAAGCGATCAATAAGTAAATAAGAGTTTAATAGTATTGTTGGAGGTAAAATTAAGGGAATTTGACTAAAATTGTGGAAAAAATGAGCTGAAAAGCGGAAAATCTAGTTAAGGGTATCGATATTAGAAGAACAGTATCGATACTATAGGTTTAAATTTGAAGAATTATGATTAATAGTATTGATACTGATGCAATTAGTATCGATACTGATGTGGGTATTGATATTAAAAGGAAGGTATCGATACCATGCATTACAGAATGTAGAAATGATATTGATACTGAAAATGAGTATCGGTATAATAGTATATAAGTATCAATACCATGATAGGGGTACCGATACTATTGAATCTAGAAACTTTAAAATATGATGAATTTTGATAAAAATTGAATATAGTAGTACTTTTAACTATTATTAAAAGTATAAATGTTAGAAAAATATACTACCATTTAGTATGGTATGTGTACTTATTGGATGCTTGTGTAGATCATAACCAAGCTCCCGAGTCAAGCAAGAAAAGTAGCAAAGATAAAGTTGTCGAATAGCTGGACATCCTTAAAGCATATTAACGAGGGATACCAAGTGAGTGCATATATGGTAATTATATTGGTTGAGGGAGAATCACAATAAATTCACCTCAAATGTTTAAATTAATTTATGTTTTTCCTTATATGAAATATGTTTATAATGGGTGTAGAATTGATACTATGAATAATCTTTAGGGTATAAACCGTTTTAAAATAAAAGATTAATTGCCTAGCTGTGCATTTGACATAAATGTGTCAATCATACCAGTAAGATGAAAGGTTAAATACCTTTGAGTAAAAGATTAATTGCCTAGTTGTGCATTTGACAGAATGGTGTCAATCATGCTAGGTAGATGAAAAGTTAAAGACCTTTGAGTAAAAGATTTATTGCCTAACTGTGCATTTGACAGAAAGGTGTCAATCATGACAGTTAGATGAAAGGTTGCATACCTTTGAGTAAAAGATTAATTGCCTAGTTGTGCATTTGACAGAAAGGCGTCAATCATGCAAGTTAGATGAAAGGTTAAATACCTTTGAGTTAAAGATTAATTGTCTATCTGTGCATTTGACAGAAAGGTGTCAATCATGCTAGTTTGATGAAAGGTTAAATAACTTTGAGTAAAAGATTAATTGCCTAGCTGTGCATTTGACAGAAATATGTCAATCATGCAAGTTAGTTGAAGGGTTAAATACCTTTGAGTAAAAGATTAATTGCCTAACTATGCATTTGACAGAAAGGTATCAATCATGCCAGTTAGATGAAATGTTAAATATCTTTGAGTAAAAAATTAATTGCCTAACTGTGCATTTGGCAGAAATATGCCAATAATGCAAGTTAGATGAAAGGTGAAATGCCTTAGGCATGGAAGGATGCCATAAATGAAAATGCATAATGGTGCATTATCGGCATGAAAGGATGCCATGAATGAAAATGAATACATAATGGTGCATTATAGGCATGAAATGATGCCATAAATGAAAATGCATAACAGTTCATTATAGGCATGAAAGGATGCCATAAATGAAAATGCATAAGCCTTAGGCATGGAAGGATGCCATAAATGAAAATGCATAATGGTGCATTATCGGCATGAAAGGATGCCATGAATGAAAATGCATAATGGTGCTTATAGGCATGAAATGATGCCATAAATGAAAATGCATACAGTCATTATAGGCATGAAAGGATGCCATAAATGAAAATGCATAACAATGCATTATCGGCATGAAATGATGCCACAAATGAAAATGCATAAAGGTACATTATAGGCATGAAATGATGCCATAAATGAAAATGCTTAACGGTAACCAGTTGGCATGAAATGATGCCACCAATGAAAATACATAATGGTATATTAACGACATATAAGGTGACACTCATGGTGATTATAAAAGATAAATGACCCTTTGGCACTTTAGTGCAATACATGTCCATTACTGTATCATTTAACATAGATAGAACAAACAAAGAATGATTGGGAAAAATATACAGAAGGATAGGCATGTTGGGCATAATAAAAATAATTTCGATAAGTGTATGAAATAAATCTGGTTTAACTGAGAAGGATTTATTTGATCCTTAGGGAGAATGCGATTTAATTCGTCATTAAGTAGCCATGATTTACTTATGTATAAATTGTAGTTTCTTGACAATATTATGTCTCGCTACGTAAATACTTAACGTGTGTTGATTTCACGCGTAGGTAAAAGCAAAGACTAGCTGATTAAGGGGTACAATAGTAGCTATCATCAATCTAAGGTTGACTCTCATCAGTAACAGTAGGGCAATCACGTTTTTTGAAAATTTTATGGCATTTAATCGAAATTAAGAAAAATGTTATGTAATGTATTTAAAATGATAATTTTGGTAATATGTTTCAAAGATTGTTTTATTGTTGTACTAAAATGTTTTGTTTTAAAATTTTCGAAACAAAATTTTATTTGTTTTACATGTGGATGAATGTTTTAAAAAGTCATGTGACACCTATGACTTGTGTACGGAAACATATATGGGAAATTTGTGTTACAATACTTCTTTATTCTTTAAATGTGCATGCCAATTATGTTAATGGATTCATGAAGGTTGACATTCATTTCTCCTAAGGTGTGAACACGACTCCTCGGTTGGCTTGGATGAATGTATGGCTTAATGTATTGTTTTGAATGCATGGATTATTTGTATAGCTTAATGGTGCTCTTCACTTGGTTGCTGCCATATTAATATGTTCACATTACCATTCTTGAATGTTCTTTTTAGTTCATCACGGACAAAGGTGATTAATTGTTTTAAATATACTGTATGATTTTCCGGTCTGCACTGCCTTTGGTAATCTAGATGTAACACCCTAAATTTCAAGCTAGTAGTTTCGCGAGAGTTAAGTGGACCATGAATTTTTATAAATTTTGATGTTGGGTCGATTTAAGTTTAATATGGTCGGTTCGGAGCCCAATTAGCCCAAAAGGGGATTTTTTTAATGTTGGAAAGGTGGGAAGGACCAAAAGCATAAATTGCCCAATTTTAAAGATATAAAGGCTTTTTATTCTCTTTATCTTCTCCTTCTCTTCATATTTTTCTCCTTTATCCTCTCTAAATTCCATTAAAATAATGGTAAGTTCTTTAGCTCGTTTTTAGGCTGTAAATTTGTCCAAAATCTCTCCAGCAATATTGTTTTATTGAATCAAAGTCTTGGTTTTTTCTAGTTAGAGAAAAGTGGGAATTTTCATCAAAATCACAAAGGAAAGGAGTTTGGATAAGCAATGGGCTTCAATTCGGGTTTCTAAAATGAAGGTAATGTATTTTTAATCCTTTTGGAGTTTTAAGATTATCATAAGTATGAATTTTTTTCTATGATTTGTGTATTTAAGTATTTTATGATTTATATTTGGTATCATGATCAAATAATGTTTAGGATGGTTTAAAAGGCATTTTTATGATACTATAAGACCCTAGTTAACTCCCTAAAGCTTTAAAACCTAATTAGAAACCAATCTATGGCCTTTATGATGGTTTTGAGTGATTTTCAAAGCCTAAATAACTATTTCAGGGTTTAAGTATCTATATTGGGATGAACAATATCGATATTGGATGAATTATGGCTAAAATTAGAGATTTTAGACTGAAAGTATCTATACTGCCAAGGGGAGTATCTGTATTACCCTTACAGTATCGATACTCAGGGTGGAAGTATTGATATTGGGCCTCGATTTCAGAAATAGAATGTATTTTTGGAACCGATACTCATAGTGGTATCGATACTTGACACTAGGGTATCGAAACTACAAGTAGAGTATCAATACTACTCACTTTGAATGGTTAGTTTTAACCCAGTTAAGGCTTGTAAGAGCTTAGGAAGATCCAAAGTAAGGCATAGCCCGTGAGGGATAAAAAAGGCCAAACGAGCTCAAATGCACTCGTAGAAGTGGGTTACAACTGAAGTAACCATAGTAGGCGTAACACATTCAAGTTTCTTCAGTCGAGCATGTATACAAATTGGTTGAGTATGAGGATCATTTTAGGGGATGTACCAATCATCGATAACGTCAGTGAACTAGGAGATGTAAGTCATCCTTTTAATTTGATGGGTTTTGAAAGGAAGTTCAATAAGAGTGATCAGAGTGTTGATACCTAGAGTTTAACTTGACTCAGGTATCGGGCTAGCTAATAGTACAGCCAGTGAACAACAGATACAGAAGTTGTCGTAAAACCATGAGAATACGTAGAAACTTCGCTAGTGGTAGATAATGATTAATATACCTTTAAGTAGTGATTGACCATAATGTAGTATTATATTAAATAACAACAGTAACAGACCAATAAGCCTTTACATAACATTCTAAGCGAGAGAACAAGCAAGATAGCATCTAGAGAGAGTATGACCTCACCTTAGTGAGTCCAGTTGTGCTAGGGTATACCTATGTTACCTTAGTTACCCTAGTGGTGCATTGTTAGTGCATGAGGCACTTTAGGAGTTAGTGAAGGTGCTAGGTCTGAACTTCACGAGGAGTCAGTTAGCGAATTCAGTGTCATCTGGCATCTGAGCGTTAGGTATGCATGTGTAGTCGCGTCAGTTCAGTTCAGGTGGTGACAATCGTTTAGTAGTATAGGATATCAGATAACACATAAAGCAGGTGTGTGAGGCCCTTCTACAACTATCTATGTCCCAGACCTTAATACTCACGAACGGTGGGTTAGTCAAACTTGATATTTACAATTACTAGTGTATGATAGCTTTGTGAGACTATATACTAGTCAGAATTGCATATAGATAGTACATATTTGAGTTAAAATTGTATTTAGATAATACAAAGCTATCATAGTCAGTCTGAGTAGAGACCCGATAGAGGTGTACTCATGGTGAGGCCCTTGTCCGAGGACTAAGGGAAGCGTGAGACCCTTATTTCAGTGGCAAATCAATTAAGTCTTAAGTAGGTAGCACTTGATCAAGATCATGTATGTGCCTACTACTTAGTATTATATCTTTAGTACGCTTATTTTTATAAAACTATTAATGTTGCTCTAGATTAGAGTACTGTACTGTACTGTAGCTTTCGTGGGCATGTATATTCATAGAACCTTACTTGTGTATTTATTTTATCAAATAGTGAGATGCATTATTTTTATTTTAAATTATGTGTCACGGAGCTCCAGTTTGTAAAATATTTCAATAATTGTTTTATATGTTGTATGATACCATTGAGTGTGTTTTAAAAGAAAACGAGCAGGTTTTGGAAATCGGGGGTTTCCTCGGTAGACCAATGTGATACTTTAAGCCCATTCAGGTTTAGGGTGTTACATTAAGTGATATCAAAGCATCAGGTTGAGTCGGTCCTAGGACCAAATAGTCAATTTTAATAAGGTATCAATGAATACATACCATAGGTACTGAAAATACTTGTATAAGTTTGGAATCTTGATGGTACTTCATTCCTTAATCTGTTGTACATTTTTACGATAGTCGATAGTTCTAATCGTGGTCTGAGGAGGCAGTTCTCTCAGCTAGTTCAGGGAGACCGTTTAGTGTATGAGTACGAGAAATAATTTCTTCTGTTGAGTTGCTATGCTCTAGAGTTGGTTAAGACTTCCTTGAGGTGTAACAGGTTGAGGGACTTCGTATGGAGATTTTTGAGTAGTTGGTGGCAGACTCACCTAGAGTATTTTCAGAGTTGGCATGGCAAGCTAAGACCGTTGAGAGGATGTAAAGTGTGAGGAAGAGTTGGTTGGGTGAGTCTAATGTCCCAAGTTTGAGGACTAATGTACCAATAGACCAATCGCAGACAACCGTATAGAGGACCAGAGTTTTGAGTGAGTAGAGAAAAGTGACGTCAGTTTTGTCACTATATTGGGTCTAAGGTCAGATGTAGGGTCTCATTGGAGACCACCAGTTTCACCATTTGCGATGCGCTTTGCAGACTCTAATAGAGTTTTAAGGTATTAGAGTGCGATCATTATGGCAAAGATCTTCGAGGAATGTGCTACAAGCTTTCTATGTAGTGTTATATATGTAAATCCTTAGCACATTTGGTGAGAGATTGCTATATGTTAAATAGTGATGTTTCAAATCAGTCAAAGGGAGTGTAGCTCAGCATGGAAGAGAGCCTTAGATAGGTGTTAGTTCGATGTCCCGACAGGAGTGCAGAGGAACAGATCAACCTGTTCTCATTTCGACGGTACACTATCCTACATGTCAGTTTATAGAAGGACAGAGTCAAGATGTTGACGTCGCAGATGAGATGATAGATATGTTTTTAGTTATCTCAGTTTCTTGTGGTTTCGTCAGGCATAAGTGCATACATTGTTTTGGTGGGGTCAAGTTAAGTAGGTAGGAAATGTATTCGTATAGAGAATCTAGGAGTAAGGAATCCAAGTAAATAGTTGGTAGACCTTAGTGGAATATACTAGAGTGATCTCAGATATTTTTTGAGGACTTGAGTCAGATTTAGTAGTCGACTAAGGGAAGTTGTTAGCACAAGCGTTGCTTGACCTCATGATTATGGGTCTAGAGATAGGAGAACAAATGATTGTCCCTTGTTGAGTTGAGGATCAACTATAAAAGAATGTTGATCCGCATAATTTTTCACCCTTGTGTGTGTTTCCTAGGGGAGTATCTTCGTGGGTTGTCAAGCTAAGTACGAGACTATAAGGACTTTTCGCATCATCATTTGAGAGGGTTCGTGGGATTAACCCGTAGCGAGTTAGTAATCACAAGTTTAGCATTGGAGATAAGGATATTTGTGAGAGCATTAAGAGTACCACAATCACCTAGGTAGAAATATCAGGATGTATCTTAGTTAGTACCAAGTCACTTCAGTTGCTAACTGGGCGTAAATGACCTTAAGTACTCACGAGGAGTAAGTTAGCAAGGTGTATGCTTCGATACAGTATTTTTGCAATTTCACCCTAAGTAAAGAGGATAATTCATGTAAGATATAGTCACAAGTCTCAAGGTGCAGAGAACCCTTCAATTCCGTTAGTATGCGTTTGTACGCGAACGGTAAGTGAATTAGCTAAGTGAGTCAAGCCTCGTCAGTTATGTCTTCGTGTTGGTATATAAGCGCGAGCTATATATAATACATACTGGCATGCAACTTTAAGTGGTACCATGGATTTTAATGCTTCTAACTAAAGGAGATTGAGTGTGTTAAGCA